AGAACTTTCAAACATTTAACGGGGACTGTGTCATTTTCAATGACTTGTTTTACCTAGAATTATTTTTTGCTGAAAAAACAATTTGGTCCTGTATGGAGTTTAATTTCATAAATTTGTAGCTTCGCTGTCGACTTTGTCGAGCGGAGCTTATCATATTAGTGATTGTCCGTCGTCGTGCGTGTCAATGTTTTACGTTTTCAACTTCTTCTGAAAACTATAAGCCTGAATGCTTTGATACTTGGTGTATATGTACCTTGGGTAGACCTCTCTTAGATTTGTTCATTTCATGATGATATCTTCATTTCCTAATTTTGTTGAATATTTTTGTCATTTTTGGTAAAAAGTGATATTTTCGACTTCTTGTTAAAAACCGTGAGTCCAATTGCTTTGATATTACGTATATACATGTAGGTATTAGATGTGGACCTCTCTCAGATTTGTTAATTTCGTGGTGATATCTTTAATTCTCTAATTTTGGTGAATATTTTTGTAATTTTTGGTAAAAAGTGATATTTTCGACTTCTTGTTAAAAGCTGTAAGTTCGATTGCTTTGATACTATACATATTGTTCATTTTCTAATGATGTCTTCAGTTCTTTAATTGAAATGTGCATTGCTAACAGCCGAGCTATATCACCCGACAGGCTGCTTGTTTGATGAGTTGAATGCAAAATATAGTATAAAAGGTATATTTGCTTTTTCGCTGAAGGGGTTTTTCAGTGAAAATAAACTCCAAACGAAAATTTTATTTTAGAATATAGTCTTCAGGCATCATAATTTTTAATAAAGGTTTTGATAAAAAAAATTGAGAAAATGTGAAAACAAAATTATGCAGGTTTATTTTACAAAATTTGTCCAGGGTGCTCAAAAGTTGAAGGAATTGTTATCAGTTTTAGCCTTGTGTGCGTCCCTGTTTTGTCTACATGTTATGATGATGTATCTCTGCCATTTAGTGTGCATGTATTAATAACAGAAACAGTAGCAAAAGGAGAAATTTAATATGAGATCAGATTACTTGGATTGTTCTGCTGTAAAAGTGACAAGTATAAATGTATAAAGCAGGGGTTACCAGATTCTATGGATGAATGTATGAACAGAAGTGAAACCTTCCAACCACCCTGTTATCCTTTGAATGCCAGTCAAATTTTGTTTCATAATTCAAACCTTAATCTATATCAAGATTTTTGCAAACAATTTCACTAATACACCTGTAGGCAATAAAAAACTGTCCCTTAGATTCAAATCAAATTTGCTGAACAATTTTATGTGTTTGGCAGAGAGATGTATGGCTTTCAAAGGTTATCGTTGAAGTCTTGGTGCTTTAGGTACGCTTTAATCTGCTGCTCACAGTATTAGCATAAGTTGTTGACTTTCAGAAAGCTTCATTTAAAAAAACCCAAATGAAATGTCCGATTAAAATGAAACCTTGAATATAAGTTAATAAATAACAACCAAACAAATGTATAAATAATCTGCTTTTAAATATCTGTGATTTTGGGCAAAAATGTTGAATAAAATCCCTCTAAAACTTGCTGTTTATTATCTGCTTTTGTGTATAGATTGTACAAGGATGCATACGCCATGACAGCAGCACACTGTTAATGTGTTTGGTCATATATTTGAATCTTGAATGTCATCGGAAGGGAAGTGGAATTGAAAAACATGGACAAGGCTAATATTACAAATATGTTACCACTTAAGTACATATGTCATTAGCATTAGCCATTATTACATTGTGTAGTCGTTGAAGGACACGGGGGTGGGGATGGGGGTTGGTGTTCTTAGCCTTTGTGGACATCATTTTGATAATAAATAATTAATATTGCAATATTTTACAAGACAAATGTATCAAATATGATATAGTCAAATATGATATAGTCAAATATGATATAGTCAAATATGATATAATCAAATATGATATAATCAGATGTATCATGAAATTAGTGAGTGTTGGGTTACTATTGAATATGAACCTTAGGGGCAACATTAGTCTTCTCATGTTTTGGTGGTGCAAGCCTCAAACCTTTTCGGACATCGGTTGGTCTGGTTGATGACTCCACCAAATTATAGTCCAATAGGTATTTTGCATGTCCTCTAAAAGGTCACACATCCTGGTACTTTGCATGTCCTCCAAAAGA